TATAGTTTCATAAATAGTGTAGGTTATTTTGGTTCAGTTTCAGAAATAGTGTGAGTTATTTTGCTGTGGTTCCATAAATACTGTGAGTTATTTTGGTTATGTTTCAGAAATATTGTAGGTTATTGTGTTGTGGTTCCATAAATAATCTGAGTTATTTTTGTTATGTTTTCATAAATAGTGTGAGTTATTTTGGTTGTGTTTCAAAAATAGTGTGTGTTATTTTGTTGTGGTTCCATAAATAGTGTAAGTTATTTTGGTTATTTTTCAGAAATAGTGCAAGTTATTTAACTGTATTTTAAAAAATAGTGTGAATTATTTTATTGTATTTCCAAAAATAATGTATATTTTGTTCCCCTCTAGAAATAATATGAGTTATTTTGGTTCAATTTTCAAAAAAAAAAATGTGTAATTGTGTTGTAGTTCCAGAAATAGTGGGTTATTTTAGTTCAGTTTCATAAATAGTATAGGTGTAGTTCTAAAATAGTGTTTATTATGTTTCATTCCAGAAATAGTGTGAGTTATTTTGATTCAATTTTCAAAAATAGTGTGTAATTTTGTTGTAGTTTCATAAATAGTGTGATATGCATGAAACAAAAACACAATTTCAGGCACCCACAAATGCAACACATAGGTTTCAATCACAAATCCATATCTTTGTAATGTATAAGATCCAAGAAAAAAAAAGTCCTACATGAAAAATAACCAACCAGAAGTAATCAACTTTTGGATCAACCTATATAATACTGTAAAGTTCTAAAGCAAATGTACATACCTCACAATAATTTTGAAGGAAATTTTTGGAAAAACATGTTCATTTGAGCAACATCTATGGCATGCAATTAACAATTAAAGGCGGAATCATGCTTGTATGCACTCAAAAACAAAACATTACCCATGAAATTCAAAGCCTAGTAGAAGGGTGAACTAAGACTCAACTCAAAACAAAGTGAGTTGAGAAACTTTATACCTTTGTTGATTCCTCTTTGCATAAGCAAAGGCTAATCACCCAAGGAGAGGGCCTTCATTCTTGCTTCTTAGCTCCATGGATTTCTTGGATAAGGATGGTTGAAAGGATTCTCCAAGTTCCCAAAGTTGAGAACCTCTAAGTCTCCACACCAAGGTAGGACTTGAAGAAGAGATGAGTGACCTAGAGGAAGTAAGATTGCTAGCTAAAATCCTCTAGGGTGGCCGGCCTCTTAGAGAGAAAAAATGGAGCTTGTGTTCTCATCTTTTCTCTAAAAGAAACCCTAAGGATGAAATGGCTATAAAGTTGCCTTTATACCACCTCATAATGGAGTGGCAAACTTGCAATTAAAGCAAGTTCACTACCCTCCTCTATTTGGCCGGCCTTAAGGGTTTATTGAGCTTTCAAGCCCCTTTGTTTATTCAAGTTGTCATACAACTTGAGTTAATGGGCTTGACATTCAAATCCCATTGGGCCTTGCGGCCCAAAACTAACCCTAGGTCTATAACGAACTTATTCGTTTGATTAATTAACATATTAATTAATCCTAGCCATAAATAATTAAACCATTTAATTATCTTTACTTATCTCCGTTGTTTCTTCAATCTCTACCTTCCACGGTGTACGATCCATTAGGTCATTTTAGCGAGGCAGTGGGCGATTGTTACTCTTAACGATCGATTGTGAATTGAAACTGACTTTCAATTCTCCCTTTAGTGATTATACACGTTTAGGGCTTTCACAAACCATGAGTCACACCTAGCAGTATGTCATGGTTACCCAAGCTAGTCAGAAGAGGTGGACAACCTATTCAGTTTAGGATTACAATGCAATACGGTCTTTCTCTAATACAATACTCTTGACCACATTGTTTGGTTTGATAGTTTAATCATGTCTACTATCCAATGTGATTCATTTACTTATATGATTACCTTGAATGTGATTTGGAACGACTTCCTAAATCTCATTCATACTCTGGCCAGAGATTCTAAATTATATCATAGAGTATTCTCCCTCAAACGGTTTGAAGGTTAGAGATCCCTTGTTGCGCATTCACTTGCCTCCATGGCTAAGTGGCTTAACCCCAACTATGTCGTGGACACCCTTTAACGGAGTGACTTTGACATAGTCAAAGATCAATGACCTAACCACAAGAAAACTATGATGCCTCAGGTCAAATGACTACTTTGCATTATCCCAACCATGAGTTCTCATGTGACATGAGTATGAGAACTCCTCGTTGATCGTGTTCAGTAGACTCATTCTCTATTGAGCACCTACATGCTTGTCTTGTTGTCAATCACACCAATGACTCGAGACCAGTCACTCTCCCTGAGAGAAGACACAGCACGTACTGATCTTAACAGACTGTCAATGCCCAATTGGCAATCCTATGATCAGGAACGTTTAGGATATGTATACGAAAGAGAATGGTCTCATGAATCTAACTTCTTAAAATGACATTCTCCTAATTACATATTCCTTGGACTTATCGTTTAAGCATATAACATTTATATGAGACGACTTAAAACAATAATATTTGCCCTTGATATTAAACTAGATTAGTTTAACATGTGAAATGTCCGTAAAGTATCATCATATGATTGGTTTTAGGGCACATTTCCAACAAATTTTATATGTAACTAAATCCAAAAGACGATGAGAATGTGATGATCCAATTTGAAATTAATTGAACGAAAGACTAAACTAGAGGGCTTTCATTACCTATTTTGTGTTTTAATTGCATGAAAACACTAAACTCACCACAAATTAACATACAAGTCTTGAGCCAAAAACTATAACTTTACGTTTGAATAAGAGTATACAACCGACTATCAAAACTAATAGTAAAAAACTAACTAATCTTTTTTTTTTTGTTGGAAAAACCAACTAATCTAAACACAAAAAATTGATCACTGACATAACATATAGCTATCTACGTGACAAAAGTTTTTTTTGCTTTTCGGTGGAGAATTCACAAAAGCTTCAGTCACATCAAATAAAATTTCTTCAAAAAGGTTAATACATTGCACAAGATAACGTGGACATGTGTCCTCAATTCCTGCTATTCTCCAAGGTACCAAGCGCTTATGCCCAACAACTTGGCAAAAGTTAATCAATAATAAAATAAAAACTCAAACTAGCAACTTTTTTATTAATTAAAAAAAAGAAAAAAAAAGAAGACAAAATGAAAGGGAGATACTTTAAGGAGGTTTTTGACAGCTTAATAGGACGACTCTGCAATCGTCTGCAAGATTCAAGCCAAGGCTTCAACAATCGCGAGACGAGACTTCCGAAACTACGACGTCCATTGCTGCAGGTTGTCCTTCAGAATCGGTGTTGTTTACGACAAAGGACGACAAGTCGTGATTGTTGTAAAAGAGAGGGGATTGGAGGTGGGTGACTGAAGAAGAGAATGATTGGTGTTGGGTTGCTGGCAACGATCTCTCCTTTTCTCTCCTCGCCTTCTTCGGGAGGATATCGTATGCTGTCAATCATGAAGAAATGGGGGAAACATAGCATAGCTGAGATATCCATAATGAACAAAGGCTTGATGTTAAAAAAATTATTCTCATACTATTATACATGATTAGTTCACCAATTAGCCTTGATCACTTTTATTTTCAACAAACTTCATATATCTAATTTGAGAGATAGAAAATAGATCTTAGTCTAATACTATTCTTTCTCATATCCTCAATTCTTGTTAGTACTAATTCTCACCATGAGTTTATAATCCAATTTGTGAATAAAGGGGGATGTTATTTGGACACATAAAATTCACATTTTGTTGATACATTCTTTAATACATGTACGTCTCTTCATGTAGGATCTATCACTATTAAAACTTGCATTTGTGTGTCCAACCTAATTAATCCAAAGTGAATCAAGTGCAAGTAATTCATTCATGTTTATATTTGGGAAATTAAAATATGTTTGGACAACGAAAATTAACTTGGAATTCGGGCAAAAATCAGAATTTATAAATTGACACAATTCTTTTGTTTGGATTCATAAAAATATAAATTTAGAATTTTTGTATGGAAAAATAAAAGAATTTTGGACCTCCAGTTTCTAAGTTTAAATTCTATGTAAATAATTGTCATTTCCAAATTTTCATGAGAGACAGTTTAAAAACAAAAACTACAAAAAGCTTAACCATGAGTGACCATTACCATCACATGCCACCATCACGTACCCTTGTCATTGTTGCCGCCACCACCACCTACCTTACTCACCACCACCACCACCTACCATTATCACCACCATCACCTACCATCATCACCACCACACCATCACAACCATAATCAACGTCGTTGTCACCACCATATACTGTTGTCACTATCATCACCACCCGCCGTCATCAGCACCGCCACCGGCCGTAATCACCACTGCCACCACCACCCACCATCATCACTGCAGTTGCCACCAACATTACTAGCACATCTTCTAACTACAGTATCTCATTTATATATGAATGCCTCTATATACATATTAAATTTTCTATTTAGCCACACAATAAAATTCACAAATCAAAAATAAAATTCTTTCTCTCAATTTCTATTTAGTAATTGAATTTGTACACGGCAGATGGCGCTCTACCGTATTGGCGAAAAGTAAGCATGCGTCCACACCAATCCTCAATTCACACCATTAAGGTTTTAGTCAAAGAGTGTTAGGGACTAGGAACCACATCCAAAGTATCCCCTAATAATTTAACCACACATGTTGGAGAAGAGAATTCCATATCGGTTATATGAAAAAATAATATACAATTAATATATGGCAATTTCCAACCCTAATATATCGATGCATTTTGTAATAAAATTGAATACTTAGTAATAAGTGGTTAAGTTAGAAAAATATCAATGATATTAGTAATGGACCATGCTTAGGCATGCAAACTTCATCATAACGCTATCGTTTGTCAAAAAACAAAAAAAATGTGCCCCTTAAGTTTGTCCTCACTTGCACATTTTTAGGTAAAGAACACATAAAACCTAACAACAATGGACGTGAATTATTGTAATATTGGGCCAAAGAAAAGTCATTTCCATTTATGTTTTCACCCCCTCAAGAAATCGGAAATCGGAAATTGATATTGACAGCATTGGCGTGCCGTGGCAGTTGAATTTCCAAAACCCAGAAATCCAGACACGCATCTTCACAGGGTCTCTCTCTGATATACATCCATCGAAAAACGTGTCCCAAGCAACAGAAAGTGACACGTAAACGAAAAAAGAAGCCCACGCAAGCAAAAGCGAGCGGCAGCGGCAGGCGAACATCGATTCCTAACGGTCCTCTCGTTGAACCCGAACACCGTCTCACTCCAATCCTCTCGTTCTCATTGCAACCAAACAGACACCAATTCCTCAGCCCCCTCCTTGGTCGTCCTCGTGATGCAGTTCAATCGATTTGATTCGTTCTGGGCGTTGAAGCCGATCGTCATTGTGATCCGCCGGACTAGGATTGGTTAATCGCGGGATTGGATTTGGGGTATCCTGGGTTTGATTGTAAATGAGCACGCAGAGGCAGCATGTGGCCGTCCGGGACCTCGTTGAGGAAGCCAAGAAGCGGATTGTGTTTCTCGCCATTTGCGTTGTTGGCTTGTCATACCTTATGTCCCGTAAGCTCTTCTTTTTCTTCTTCTGCTGTCCTTTCTTTTGGCTTTTTGGTTTTAAAGTTTATGATTTAATTTCATTTCTAATCAAGTTTTAGATTGATTTTCATTGTGAATTCATTGTCCATGTGATAATTACTGTGTCAATGTGCATTATATGGAATCTAATTTCTTATTCTCCTTTTAATTTTGTGGGAAATGTTTTGAGTAAAAAATACTTTCAATTCGAATAAGAAAGTGATCGCCTTTTCCTTGTGCATTTAATGATTTATCAAAAATAGTATTACCCATTTAATGATTTATCCAGTTTCTTCGGTTAAACGAGTGGAGGTTACATTATCGATCCCGGAAATCTGGTGTTCTGGTTCATTATAATTGTAGACTGCATGCTTAGCTGCGTATTGTTTGACTGTTTAAGGGCATGCTTTGAAATTTTGATTATTGGTGTTAGAAGCCAGTTTGACTACTCGAGGTGCGGCTTATTATTGTTTTAATTTCAGTGACGAGCTCCTCTGTCTGGGTGAACTTGCCTGCTGCCGCCTCGTTGATTGTCATCGTTCGTTATTTGTCACTAGATTATGACATGCGAAGAAAAGCTGCATCATACAACAGCAAGCCACCATCAGCAAATACTACTTCTCAAAACAAACCTATTAAATGGCCTAAAACTAGTCAAAAGTCTGAGTGGAGAAGGAAAGTTAATTCTCCTGTTGTCGAGGAAGCTATTGATCACTTCACCTGGCATCTAGTTTCTGAGTTTGTGACCGATCTCTGGTATTCTCGTCTAACACCGGATAGACAAGGTCCAGAAGAACTCGCGTGCATCATGAATGGTGTTCTTGGGGAAATTTCAGCACGCATGAGGAATATAAATCTAATTGATCTTCTCACAAGGTTCTTTTTATAAACATGCACAACAGGGTGCTATAAAAGACTAACTAAATGATTACTGAAGATCTATTGTTTATGATGCTGCAGGGATCTTATTAATCTCATATGCTCTCACTTGGAGCTTTTCCGCATAGCTCAAGCAAAGATTCAAAAGCAACAATCGGGATGCCTGACAGTTGAAAAACGAGATATGGAAATAAGACTTATCTTGTCTGCTGAAAACAAATTGCACCCTGCTTTATTTTCTGCTGAATCTGAGCACAAGGTTTTTTTTTTCCTTCCTTTCTGATACTTAGCTTAGTTAATCTGTAATTTTACCTGAAGGACTGAGGTATGGTCGTGCATAATGTGCTTTCTCAATTGTGGTGACCATGTTTTCTTTACCATTCATCTGCAGGTCTTGCAGCATTTGATGGATGGCCTGATCTCATTCTCATTCAGGCCTGAAGATCTGCAATGCACTCTCTTCCGTTATATTGTCAGAGAACTACTTGCTTGTGCAGTAATGCGACCTGTCCTAAACTTGGCTAGTCCCAGGTATTCAATGTTTTAGTTTGAGTTATGTTTACTTACGAACTACTGTCGTTATCATTTCTCTTCAATTTTTTGGTGACAGGTTTATTAATGAAAGAATTGAATTGTTGGTCATTAAAATGACCGAGCCTAAAGGTGTTATTGCGGTACAAGAGGCATCTCGGTCCAAACCAGAGGGGCCCTCAAAGTTATCATCTGATCACTTTTCTAGGTTCTTAGATACTTCTGTTACTGGTGTTGAACTTGTGCAATTAAAAAATGGTCAGTCCAGAACTGCTGTGGAGACAGCTGCAAATGTAAATGGATCAAAAGATCCATTGCTCTTGGTTGATACTCAATCTTCCCGTTCGTGGAGCTCAGTGCGAATGAACTCCCACACTAGCAATGAAAGGGGTGTAGAACAGAACCACTCGGGAGGAGAATGGGGAGATATGTTAGATCTGATGTCACGCAGAAAGACTCAAGCCCTTACTCCTGAAAATTTTGAAAACATGTGGGCTAAAGGGAGGAATTTTAGAAAGAAAGAAGGTGAAATAAATGAGCATTCTTCTGGTGGGAAGTCAGTTACAGTAGATCATTTTATGGAAAAATCTAGGCCCAAAGATAAGGAAAATGTTTCGAAGTTCAATATTTCTGATAGAGGCATTTCTCAAAACAATTTCCACCCTGGAGCTCAAAACATACCAAGTTACTCTCGAGGTTCTTCATATCAGGATGATGATGAACACAACCACATGCGGTTGGACGAGTTTGAATCAGGAAGCAGTACTGCTTATACTTCGGAAGATGAAGAAACAGACAGTGTTACAGGTCTTGATTCTCCTGGAACTAAAGTTTGGGATGGTAGAAGTAATAGAAATATGGCAATTTCTCACATTCATCACCCACTTGAAAATTCTGAACGCCATATTAGGAAACGGACTGGTAAAGGGAATCTTCACTTTAACAGATTGTCTAAAACCCAGTCTTTCCAGAAAAGATCTAGACCAAGCAACAAGAAAGTGCCTGTTTGGCAAGAGGTAGAGAGAAAACGCTTCTTGTCTGGAGATGGACAGGACATACTTAAATCTCCAAATCGAGATGCAAATATTGAGGACTCTAGCGATGATTCTGACGTTGAAAGTTTGGGTAGAATTAACAGTGGGGCAGCCACTTCTTCATCTGCAACTTTATCTTTTGCAGATAGTCACAGCCTGAATTTTAATTCCCTGAAAAATTCTCTAGCAGTGGATTCTTTTTTCAAGTTGAAATGTGAGGTACTTACCTTAAATCTTAATAGGTTGGCTTTGGTTGGCACGCTCAATGTTGTTTTCTGGTATGTTGATAGATAAAGAAAAATGTAAACTCATTTTTTATTGCAGGTATTGGGTGCAAATATTGTGAAGAGTGGCTCAAAAACATTTGCCGTTTACTCCATATCTGTTACGGATGTAAATAATAATAGTTGGTCAATCAAAAGAAGGTGCTAAGATTGTTCTCTAATTTTTCTCTTTCATCCTTCAATTGTAAATGTAATTTTTCTAACAATATAAGAAAATGAGGCATACTTCTCCCTTGTACCTTTGCTTTGGTAACTCATAATTATTGTGCTTCTCCCTACAGGTTTAGTCATTTTGAGGAGCTACATCGGCGTCTAAAAGAGTTTCCTGAGTACAACCTACACTTGCCACCAAAGCATTTTCTGTCAACTGGTTTGGATTTAGCTGTCATTCAGGAACGATGTAAATCACTTGACAAATATGTAAAGGTTAACAACTCAATCCTGCTCTTGGTCATTTTTGTTTTTCATAAATTATTTGATTTTGAACATGTTTGTCAACTTTATGATCTAAATGTAAAATTAAAATTTGAATATTCAACCTTACTGTAATTAAGATTCTGTGCGGCCCTTCTATATTCCTATTGTGATGCTAATGTTCTTTCAGTGCTTGGCCACGAACTTCTAGGTCACCTTTTAGAACTCATTCAGCTGTACTTTGAGTGGATTGAGAACATGCACATGTACATGAGTGTTTATTGACTGGAACATTGATTTGTATTGGGTTCCGGAGGTAGGATCAAAGTAGAAGATTTTCGGGAAAAAGATAGTTCCCAGAGGTTTTGGAATTTCAAAAGACATTTAAATTCCAATTTTAAAGTTAAGCTTCCATTTCCAGAATTTTGGAAAATTCTTTAGGATCCTAATATTTTTTGGAAGTGTTGGAATTTATGAAGAATCAATGGAAAATTCTTGGTATTGTTATAAGTTGGAACCACTCTGACAAAGACATTAAACAACTCTCAACCGTACTCTAGAAAATTATAACAAAAATGAGAGAAGCGACTCAATTATGACAAAAATACAACTCATAATTGTCAACTGGAGAAAGTGACTTACTTCACACAATAAAAAGTGAGAGAAAGAACTGGTAATGTAACCAAAACATTATTTCATACTAATTATTGAAAAAAAAAAAGCAAACCATTAGAAGAATAAACACTCAAACACGGGCAGGAACAAAGTTGAGACATTGAGACTTAGATGAGATAGGAAAAGTCCCCGTACTTCTTGAATATAAGGATCAGGGATGATTGGGTGTGTTAAAGTTGTTAAAACATGCACGTGAAATGAGGACATATGGAGTAAACATGTTACACATGAAGAATGTTTTGAAGTTCTCAGACCGAGGGTGTTTGGAATTACAAGTTTTGAGTTTCATTTTGTGATGGCAAATTGGAAATTTAGGACTGATTGTGGTTTGAATCAAAATGTTCAATCCGGATTTGTGGAATAATTCCACTCTATTTAGCAACCTTGTTCCTTTTTTCTCTGGATAAAAATATTCATGCCTTAAGCTTTTATTTGCTCATAAACTCTCATCTGGTGTTCTCAGAAACTTATGCAGCTTCCAAGAGTTTCAGGATCCATTGAAGTTTGGGACTTTCTAAGTGTTGACTCCCAGGTTCAGTAATCTTTTTACTGATTTTGATAACAGGGGAGGCAGTTATGATCTTTGAAAATTTACGAGAAATACTTATCCTTTTTTATCTTTCAAATGCAGACTTATCTATTTACAAATTCCTTTTCTATAATCGAAACACTGTCAGGTAAATCAGTTATATGCATAAGTTTGAATTCGTTTGTTCTTGTTTCCTTTTTCTTTCTCACTCTGGTAGTCCTTGTTCATTTGGGAATTATCTAGTTGACCTAGATGATAAACCATCTGAAAAGAGCAAAAGGGTTTCAAATATGGATGGGCTGGTGACTGATCCGTTCTTGACGAGGGAACATACGGGCAATGGAGTTAAGGGTTCTGCTTTACAACTGAAGAATAATGATGGGTTAAGAGTGAACACAAAAGTTTCTGATTCCCAGGTAAAAAGTCCTGGTAAAGAAATTGGAAAGTCACTCATTAATTCTGGCACTGATTCAGATGCTAGAGCAAAAAAAGATTTATCTTCTGTCAAAAACTTGGGTAAGACCATAAAAGGAAGAGAGGAACAAGAATCTGAATCGTTTCTTGATACTGATACAGTCCCTACACTTCCTACAGAGGTAAAACTCTAAGCGCAATTTGTTTTATCATGTTTTCCTTTCCTGACATCTAGTGAGTTTACAATTTGAAACCCTTATGTAGCTGTACTTTTAGAATAATTCTACCGAATGATGTGTCTTTTTTTATGCAGTGGGTACCTCCAAATTTAAGTGTTCCCATATTAGATTTGGTAGATGTCATTTTTCAGCTCCAAGATGGTGGATGGATCAGGTATTTTGTAAATATGATTGCAGAATCATGCCCTCTTGTCTTATTGTGGTATTAAGTTGAACAAGCACAAGTGGTAATATCACTTATATCTTCTGAAATGATAGGCGAAAAGCTTTTTGGGTGGCCAAACAAATACTACAGCTAGGGATGGGTGATGCCTTCGATGACTGGTTAATGGAGAAAATTCAACTTCTGCGCAAGGGATTGGTGGTTGCTTCAGGGATCAAGCGTGTTGAGCAGGTACTTTTTGACGTCATTTGCTTCCAATGAGTTTTCGAAAGCTCACATCAGAGATCTATTAAATTTACTCAATTTCTTCATCGTGTACTTTATAAAAACTCTGATAGATTGAGATTTGGTGTTTTGGAAGGTTTACAATATTTTAGATTTTGTGACTTTATTCAGTTTGCAGTTATTATCATGGTGATGGTTAAAAAAAATTGCTTAGGACCAACGTAGTTCAAATGCAAAGCAGTTGGTGACAGCATTTGTTGTGTGGCCAACATTACAGAATTTGTCATTTGCTTTAGGAGTAATATGAGATTTGTTGAATATACCATGCAGAGTGATTATGTAGGCTTACATTAAATATTTGGTAGATTGAGATTTGGTTCTTTAGAAGGTTTACAATACTTTTGCATTTGCGACTTTATTCAGTTTTCAGTTATTATCATGGTGACCGTAAAAAAGTTGCTTAGGACCTAAGTAGTTCAGCAGTTGGTGACGGCGTTTGTGTGTAGCCAACATTACAGAATTTTTCATTTTCTTTAGGAATGAGATGAGATTTGTTGAATATACAATGCTTACTGATTATGTAGGCTCACATCAAACCTTAGGGTTCTTTCAACAACATTTTTTCTTCTTATATTCAACAACAACAACAACAACAACAAAGCCTTTTCCCACTAAGTGGGGTCGGCTATATGAATCCTAGAACGCCATTGCGCTCGGTTTTGTGTCATGTCCTCCGTTAGATCCAAGTACTCAAGTCTTTTCCTAGGGTCTCTTCCAAAGTTTTCCTAGGTCTTCCTCTACCCCTTCGGCCCTGAACCTCTGTCCCGTAGTCACATTTTCGAACCGGAGCGTCAGTAGGCCTTCTTTGCACATGTCCAAACCACCGGAACCGATTCTCTCATATTTCCTTCAATTTTGGCTACTCCTACTTTACCTCGGATATCCTCATTCCCAATCTTATCCTTTCTCGTGTGCGCATACATCCCACGAAGCATCCTCATCTCCGCTACACCATTTTGTGTACGTGTTGATGCTTCACCGCCCAACATTCTGTGCCATACAACATCGCGGTCTTATTGCCGTCCTATAAAATTTTCCCTTGAGCTTCAGTGGCCTACGACGGTCACACAACACGCCGGATGCACTCTTACACTTCATCCATCCAGCTTGTATTCTATGGTTGAGATCTCCATCTAAGTCTCCGTTCTCTTGCAAGATAGATCCTAGGTAGCGAAAACGGTCACTTTTTGTGATCTTCGCTAGATTGCTCCGGTCATTAGTGTGGATAAGTATATAAATGGATAGAGATAGGAAAGCAAACACAAGATGTACGTGGTTCACCCAGATTGGCTACGTCCACGGAATAGAGGAGTTCTCATTAATTGTGAAGGGTTTACACAAGTATATAGGTTCAAGCTCTCCTTTAGTGAGTACAAGTGAATGATTTAGTACAAATGACATTAGGAAATATTGTGGGAGAATGATCTCGTAACCACGAAACTTCTAAGTACCGGAGTGTGGTATCGTCTTGACTTGCCTTATCTGTCTCATAGGTAGATGTGGCATCTTCTCTGGAAGTACTCTTCCTCCATCCAGGGGTGGCATCTGTAACTGGTGGAGATGCACAAGGTAATGTATCAATTTCACTTGAAGCTTGTAGTTTCAGGTTTGGTCAAGCGCGATACAAACCATGTAGTAGGAGTCCCCCAAGTCGCCGAGCTAGGGGATCTGCTGAAAGAGGTGACAGACAAGGTAAGCAATCAGAGCTCCGGCTGATTGTTCACATTCTCCCTATCTTGCAGGCAGCATGAAGGATAAAGAGAAGAAAAATGAGAAGAGATGATATGGGATACTTTTGCTTTTGAAGAAGTAACTTTCTTACAGGCTTATTCTTGAACTGGGCTGGAGGGTTTTCTGGTTTCCTCCAGAGTATAAGGCCGACTGAAGAATTTGAGGGTCAAAACAAGTCCATCAAATCTAGAGTACGTTCGACCCTGCTGATATGGGATACTTTTGCTTTTGACAGAGTAGTGGATGTATCGGCACGTGTGCTGTTACGCTTGTCTCCACATGCTTCCTTGTATCCTTCTCACTTGCCCTATCTGTTCCTCAGGCAGATGCGGTATCTTCCCTGGAAGCATAAGATGTTGAAGATGAGTACTCGAGAGCAAAGCCAGGTAAGTAATCAGGTAAGGGGTTCCAGGCAGTCAGTTCCTGGCTGGAAGCTTGATTCCAAGTGCTGACTGATTGCTCTCTTTCTCCTTGTCTTGCAGGTAAGAACAAGGCCAAAGGAAAAGACAGGGAAAAAGCATGATATGGGATACTCTTGCTTTTAACCCTGATGATATGAGATATTCTTGCTCTAGTATAGCTTGTTTACAGAGGTATTATTGGGGGGAAAGAAAGCTGAATATTTCGAAAGGCTTCGTTGGGAGTGCCCTCTAAGATAAGAGGAAGGGTTGAGCATTTTTGCAGGTCTGCCTGTCCGTTGGGGATGGAGGTCGACATATATAGGAGTCTCCCTAACATCAAGTAATAATGCTATTCCTTTACCCTGCTTGGTCATAGCACGGTAGTGGGAGCTGCCAGCTTCACATGTTTTAACTCTGTCATAGCACTTTGAAAAAGTGGTCTGTGGTATCTGGAAAGTTGATGTTGCGTGTGAAGATTAAAGACAAGCTTTATCCAAGGAGATCCAGCTCTTGAAGTTGGGAAAGTGGTGCCTCTTCAGTTTTTGAACAAGCAATCCTATCGGGGATCTGGCTCTCGAGATTCGGAGAACGATGCCTCTTCGATTTTTGAGAAAGCAATCTTGCTGGGGGTCTGGCTCTCGAGATTCGGATAGCAGTGTCTCTTCGATTTTTGAGAAAGTAATCATGTTGGGAGTCTGGCTCTCAAGATTCGGAGGGCGGTGCCTCTTCGATTTTGGAGCAAGCAATCTTGTTGGGAGTGTTTTCTCGAATGTGAGTAAAGGTTGGGCATGTTTGCTAGTCTACCTTGCCACGAAGCACAGAGGTTGACACACAGGGACTTTCCAATTATCCAGCAGTGGTACTGTTCCTTTACCCTCTCTTCGATTTTTGAGAAAGTAATCATGTTGGGAGTCTGGCTCTCGAGATTCGGAGGGCGGTGCCTCTTCGATTTTGGAGCAAGCAATCTTGTTGGGAGTGTTTTCTCGAATGTGAGTAAAGGTTGGGCATGTTTGCTAGTCTACCTTGCCACGAAGCACCGAGGTTGACACACTGGGACTTTCCAATTATCCAGCAGTGGTACTGTTCCTTTACCCTTGTGGGTAATAATATGGTAGCTAGACCTTCAAAATTTATGTGTCTAAACTTTGTTATTGTTGTTTCTTTGCTATTCTTTTACCCTTCTTGGTCAGAGCGATGTAGTGGGAGCTGCAAGCTTCACGTGTCTCAACTTTGTCAGAGAACTTTGGCAAAGTTATCTGTGGTACCCATGAGCTACTGTTGCGTGTGGGAAGTGGGTGATTGAACAGTACGATTCATGTGCTTTCTACTTCGCCAGAAATCTTCGACAGAATGCCCATAATTTCCGCAAAGCTGAGTGTGCGTGTGACACGTGCTGACAAGGCTGGAAAAGTAGGTGCCTCTTCGATTTCTGATATCGACCCTCGTGGTCTCTGAGCAGCCTAGCTTTTGAGAAAGCAAGCCTCTTCAATTTCTGAGATCGGCCTTCGTGGTCTTTGAGCAGCCCAGCTTTTGAGAAAGCAAACGCCTCTTCGATTTCTGAGATCGACCCTCGTGGTCTCTGAGCAGCCCAGCTTTTGAGAAAGCAAACGCCTCTTCGATTTCTGAGCAGGCGCCTCTTCGATTTCTGAAGCTTCGTCGAGTGCAGATTTTTATAGGGGCTGACATTAAGTTCCAAAGCACACTTGAATATCCACCAGTAGAAGCTCCATTCTTGCACTTCTAAGATCTTGATTTGTCCGACCTCTTCTCTCTTCAACACCTTTGAAAATGTCTGGCCCCTCCGACCGTCGTTTTGACTTGAACCTTGTTGAAGAGGCAGCCCCGCCTTCTCCAGACAACATATGGCGCCCATCCTTCGTCTCCCCTACTGGTCCTCTTACCGTTGGGGATTCCGTGATGAAGAATGATATGACCGTTGCGGTAGTGGCCATGAACCTTCTCACTCCCAAAGATAACAGACTACTTTCCAAACGGTCTGATGAATTGGCTGTTAAGGATTCTCTGGCTCTTAGTGTTCAGTGTGCAGGTTCTGTGTCTAATATGGCCCAACGCCTATTTGCTCGAACCCGCCAAGTTGAATCATTGGCGGCTGAAGTGATGAGTCTCAAACAGGAGATTAGAGGGCTCAAGCATGAGAATAAACAGTTGCACCGGCTCGCACATTTTTTTTTTTGAGAAGAAACAATTTTATTAAAGAATAGAGAAAAACACAGAAGTGGATAAGAAGTCCACCAACAAATTAGAAAGGAAAATCCTAATAGGAATTGGCTACAGTAGCCAATTCTAGACCAAGCTCACTTAACTGCTGCTAACAAATCCCACAGTATTTGAGATAGAGAGCAATTATTAAACTCTTTAGTAACCGAAGCCCAAAAAGATGCCCAATATTTAACTCTCCCCCAAAGTACTTCTGCCCCCACTCCAGTATAGTCTTCAAAAATCCTTTTGTTGCGTTCCAGCCATATATTCCAGAAAATTGCCGATACCAGGCAACCCCACAAAGCTTTGGATTTTTTCCCTTTTCCAAGTCCCTTGAAATTGGTGCTTAGTAGCTCAAAACACCCTTTAGGAATGACCCAACTTACTTTAACCTCCTGAAACAGTTTCCACCACAGTTGTATCGAGTAGGAGCAATGAAGAAAGATGTGATTTACACTCTCCTCCTTAGCTTTACATAAACTACACCAATGTGGGGATAAACACATCATAGGGTTTCTCCTTTGAATTTTGTCGCAAGTGTTGAGACTCCCATTGGCCACAAGCCATACAAGTATTTTAACCTTCGGAGGAACT